AAATAAAGTGAAATATTAGACATTAGTCATTACCTTCTGCATACTTTTCACTTCCGGTTGGGTTGAGGAAGCCTACACCGTCATCACTTAGACATAATTTTCGCTCACAAAGATCGCGATTGCACAGGGAGCTCACAGCTCAGAACTAACTGCATAATATAAAGGAGCCTTCATTGCCTGCAATCATACTATATCCTTGCGTTTTATTACAAATGTTCACACCCAAAATCCCATAATGCTATTTTGTTTGGTCCAAAAGATCGGTAAAAAAGAATTTGAACAACATTCTTTGGTTCATTTTCTTATATCCATCGTGGTAACTATCCCTGTCTGCGCCATTAGTTATATTTGTTGTCTGATTCTCGCCAATTTTTTTAACCATTATCCTCTCCACACATTTAATTTCGCTTATCTCTCCTGGCAATAATGAATCTCGCCATCCTCGAACGATGGAATCACTATAATACAAATTGCATGAGTATGCAGCGATACAGAACTGTGATAAAAAGCCATAAGTTATTTTTGGCCATTAAGTTGTCTTGATGCACTGTGGGTTAAATTTTAACTCAAACTTTAGCCTTAATAATGTATGTTTTTTGTACCTTATATGGTGAAGCGAGTATTTTAAGGTTGTCCGATGTATGCGGATATAATGAAACTGTCGTTCTAAGGTCTTGAGTTGGACATAGACACTAGCTGAGCGCAGTCTTTCTTAATGGAGGACTGATAGAACTTGCACCTTCGCGGATGCAGAAAAGGGATGGAGTGGCGTACGAGCTTGCAGCGCATTTATAAGAAGGTTGATGAAGGTGCACGCATTTGACATCAAGGAGGCTAGAAGTTAAGTTGACGATCCGAGGCTATTAAAAAATGAGGCCTCAGGCTATAGAGCTAAGCGTCGGAGCCGTCCATGTGCTATTACTGAGATTGGCCGTTGATCTAAAAAGGTAGTAACAGTGGTCTGTCCTGTTTACTGAGAACACGATCAAATAGAATTCAGCTGTCGGGATCACCAGTGTTGTGTTGTGTTCTGAAGGACGTAGACTGTCTCTAAAATATAAAATGCTTCCCCTCTACAACTCCAAAGATGGAGGCCCAGAAACGAAGTGAGAAAAGGAAGAAATAGTATTTCGAAACGGCCGAATACAATAGGAATGCAATCATTGAAAGATGGCGCCAAATAGAACATTCTAAATGCAGCAAGCCACGACAGAGGCGAGAAAAAGAAGGAAATATACGTAACTTATTTAAACAGAATGTTAGCTACTTGGTATAGCCTTGAGTAGTTTTCAATGTCAACTTCTGATTGGATAATGCGGTGCCAAGCTTTAATAGGACGACGCGAAATATAGTCAAGATTAGTCACGCACTCACGTGATCTCTTCGCTAAAGGATGTAACAAAAACTAAACATTGAATGGGAAAAGTGGGTATAGGTCACTACAAGCCCTTAACCGTGAAGCGCTTTAAACTGGGTACAATCCAAATTAATTTAAGTAGAGTGTTTATCAGTCAATTTATAACACCTCAAGACTATGATGATGAGGCGGAAATATTGAAAGCTCCTAATTTACTAAATTACGAGATGCTACGGCTAAATTTTGCTCAGCCAGGTTTTAAGCGTTTCCTATGTACTTTTCATTGTTAAACATTGAAGCAAAACTAATGCTATATGAAAAGCATTTGTTTTCGATACTTCTATAGGTGATTGTTTAGAAGCAAATCGTACCACATCAAATCAATTTGTATGTAGTCTGCAATTAAAAAAGGTATGTATAATGACTAGCTCAGTAAAATGAAAGAGACTTCTCGCTATATTGCTAACCTGTTCTCCGGAAATTCGATGCGCTTCAGCTAAGTCGAGGTGTAAAGAGAAGATATCAGCAACATTTTGCTCTGTTGCCATTGGCCAGCCGCAAGTGAGACGGGTGCCTGTAATCATTCCGAAGGGTTTGCCGAAAGGTTTGCTCCCATTAGAAACATTACCCCCTTGTCCTTCCAAACAGCGGCGTAGCAAGCGGCTGGCCTCAGGCCCTGCGCCCTTTTTCAAGAGCAGTCGAGCTTGTACAACTTGGTACCAAGGGTGATTGCGTAACTCGAAATTATGGCCAATTCCAAACTCAAGCGTTTGTTCGGCCGCTTTTACGTTGGCCTGATATAGATAAATCTTGATTTTAAAATGGGTTGCAAAGAATAAAAAGTCAGACTAAAGAAAAATTTGAGCCTAACGAATAAAAAAGAGATTAGGAAAGCAGTAAGGGGAGCAATGAGAAAATTATATTTAAAAATAATGAAAGGGTTAGATAAAAAGAAAGAAATAGAATGTATAAAATTTTCTAACTTCAATAGTCTGCTTTGGCTCAATAGACCTTAGGAACGAATGTGGTTAAAACCATCAGTGAGCTGACAAGTTAAGCCGCCTTCTTTTGGTGGACTGCTCAACACC